ATAGTTTCAGTTTGCAGTGGGTCTACATTAGAACATTGTACAATGAAGAGCGTCTTTGTAGCTTCATTTCTCCATGTTACACTGTTCTTACACATATTACTATACACATGTAGACGTTACAGACCAACAGTAAAGTGCTAAGAGTATCCTTTTTTTTTTTTTTTTTTTTTTTTGGTTTTTTCGAGACAGGGTTTCTCTGTGTAGCTTTGTGCCTTTCCTGGAACTCACTTGGTAGCCCAGGCTGGCCTCGAACTCACAGAGATCCGCCTGCCTCTGCCTCCCGAGTGCTGGGATTAAAGGCGTGCGCCACCAACGCCCGGCGAGTATCCTTTTTTAAAATGTGTTTTTTGGAGTTTATGTTTGGTTGGTTGGTTGGTTTTTAGTTTTTGAGACAGGGTCTCACTATGTAGCCCTGGCTGTCCTGGAACTAGCTCTGTAGACCAGGCTGGCCTGGAACTCAGGGATCTGCCTGCCTTTGCCTCCTGAGTGCTGGTATTAAAGGTGTGGGCCACCATAACCTGGCTTATAATGTGTTCATAAAGAAGCAAGGAATAGAAAGAAAGACACATGTTTATAATTATACTAAGCTTATCAGTTTTCTTTGGGGGATACATTTTTACCTTTATTTCTGTGGTTTGACTCCCAGATAGCACCGTCCTAATGCAATAGACCTCTGTTTATCTCTTCTCTTGGTTGTCATCCCTAACCTTTTCATAAGGGGTAGACCCCAGATACACACCACCCCAATCAATCTGAGACATCATGATCCTCTCCAAACCCTGTGCGGCTTATCCTGTCACTCTCCAAAGTGACTGGTGGACAGACGCTCCCTTCCCCGTCGCCCCTAGCAACCACCACTCTGGTCCACACTCAGGTCTGGCTCTGTAAGCTCTATCATGTAGTAATTGCCTCTTTGTGTTGCTACCGTTCTTTTTGCCTTTTTAATATATGGACAAAATACTGTTTCCAGAAATCACTTACGTTAATTATATCTGTCTGTCTCTGTGTGTGTGTGTGTGTGTGCGCGCGCGTGCGCGCGCGTCTGTGCACATGGACATATGCATGTGCGCGTACGGCAATTCATGTACGTGTGTGTAGAGACCAGAGGAAGATGATGGTTGTTTTCTATTATAGCTTTATGCCATATTTCTTGAGACAGGGTTTGTTATTTTCTCTCAAGCTCGTCACTTTGACGAGGTGGAGTGGCCCATGAGTCCCTGGGACTCACCTGTCTCTGCACAGGCACATGTAGTGGAGCCTGCCTTCTTTTTAAAGTTTTATTTTTATTTTATTTTATTTTTGGTTTTTCGAGACAGGGTTTCTCTGTATAATTTTGGTGCCTTTCCTGGCTCTCACAATGTAGCCCAGGCTGGCCTCGAACTCCCAGAGATCCACGTGGCTCTGCCTCCCGAGTGCTGAGATTAAAGGCATGGGCCACCACTGCCGGGCCTTTTTAAAATTTTTATACATGTATAGTGTGTGTGTGTGTGTGTGTGTGTGTGTGTGTGTGTGTGTGTCTGTGTGTGTCTATGTGTGTGTGTGTGTGTGTGTGTGTCTGTGTCTGTGTGTCTGTGTGTGCATCCCAAAGATTGAACTAAGATTGTCAAGCTTGGCAGGAAGTACCTCTCCTTGCTGAACCACCTTGATGGCCTATGCCTGGCTTTGTCTGTGGGTACTGGGGATTTGAACTTCATTGGTGGGGTAAGTGTGTCATCCAGTGAGCTGTCTGCCCAGCTCCAGCTTTTGCTTACATGGGGTTGAAGAGTAAATCTTGTTACCTTAGCTGTGCAGGAGCAGGAATTCATCCCTTACATGGTGTCATGTGGTTTCTTTTTTATCATATGAGTTAACTAGTTAACTGCTCTTTGGTTCTTTTTTAAGAAGATGGTTCGTCTTATTTTTATTTATGTATATATGTGTTATGTATAATATATTATTGTACACATGCATACGGGTGCTTGTGCCGTCCAGAAGCGGGTATCAGATCCCCTAGAGCTGGAGTTACAGGCAGTTGTGAGTAGCCTGCTGTGGGTGCTGAGAACTGAACCCAGGTTCTGACAGGTGTCAGGTGGTATCTCAGAGTCATTTTGATTTGCATTTCTCTGATGATTAAGGATGTTGAACATTTCTTTAAATGTCTTTCAGTCATTTGTGATTCTTATTTTGTGAATTCTCTGTTTAGCTCTTTAGCCCATTTTTTAATTGGACTGTTTAGTATTTTGATGTCTAGTTTCTTGAGTTCTTTATATACTGTGGAGATCAATCCTCTGTCAGATGTGGGGTTGGTGAAGATCTTTTCCCATTTTTTTTTTTTTTAATGTACACAGAAGAGGGCACCAGATCTCATTACAGATGGTTGTGAGCCACCATGTGCGTGCTGGGAATTGAACTCAGGACCTCTGGAAGAGCAGTCGGTGCTCTTAACCTCTGAGCCATGTCTCCAGCCCCGATCTTTTCCTATTCTGTTGACTGTCTTTTTGTCTTATTGACCGTGTCTTTCGCCCTGCAAAAGCTTCTCAGTTTCAAGAGGTCCCATTTATTAATTGTTGAGCTTTGTGTCTGTGCTGTTGGTGTTTTATTTAGGAAGTGGTCTCCAGTGCCAATGCGTTCAAGAGTACTTCCTACTTTGTTTTCTATTAAGTTTAGTGTAAATGGATTTATGTTGAGGTCTTTGATCCACTTGGACTTGAGTTTTGTGCATGGTGACAGATATAGATCTATTTGTAATCTTTTACATATTGACATCCAGTTATGCCAGTACCATTTGTTGAAAATACTTTCTTTTTTCCATTGTATAGTTTTGGCTTCTTTGTCAAAAATCAGGTGTTCATATGTGCATGGATTAATGTTAGGGTCTTAATTTCTGTTCTATTGGTTCGTATGTCTGTTTTTATACCAGTACCAAGCTGTTTTTATTACTATAGCTCTGTAATATAGCTTGAGGTCAGGGATGGTGATGCCTGCAAAGGTTGCTTTATCATATAGGATTCTTTTAGCTATCCTGGGCCTTTTGTTTTTCCATATGAAGTTGAGTATTTTTCTTTTCAAGTCTGTGAAGAATTGTGTTGGGATTTTGATGGGGATTGCATTGAATCTGTATATTGCTTTTGGTAAGATTGTCATTTTTACTATGTTAATCCTACCTATCCATGAGCATGGGAGATCCTTCCATTTTCTGATATCTTCTTTGATTTCTTTCTTTAGAGATTTAAAGTTCTTATCAAAAAGGTCCTTCACTTGTTTAGTTAGTATTATCCCAAGGTATTTTATATTACTTCTGGCTATTGTAAAGGATGATGTTTCTCTGACTTCTTTCTCAGCCCTTTTATCATTTGTGTATAGGAGGACTACTGATTTTTTTGAGTTGTTCTTGTATCCTGCCTCTTTACTGAAGGAGTTTATCAGCTGTAGGAGTTCCCTGGTAGAGTTTTTGGGGTCACTTATGTATACTATCATATCATCTGCAAATAGTGAAAGTTTGACTTCTTCCTTTCCAATTTGTATCCCTTTGATCTCCTTTTGTTGT